TAAAGTGTGATGGTATGAAGTGCTACCACTGAGGATGAGCTAACTGGACCTTTTTGTGTTGAATAGGGACTAAAATAAACCCCCAGTCTTACTGACAGTGTCTGGATAATACTTTCTTTAAACAGTAATACAAGTTTGCATTATTCAAGATAACCATAATCTTTGCTGGCTGTGGCAATCCTCCATTAAGATGAAGTTAAGATATACTTGAAGAAAAGCTTTTTTTAAAGTAGTAAAACAAAAAGCTAAAATAAGCAGAATGTATATATATAGCTTAATAAATATACATTATATGCATTCAAATAATGGTCTTTTGGGCTGTTCTCAAATCCATTTGAAAGCCTTTGATTGGAGCTTCAGTGAAAGACAGTCTTACAGCGTGAGTGCTTTTTAGGCTCAGAGCAGCTATTCTATATAAATGAAGTGTGGCTACACAAACTGCACTGACTGTTTTTGAATAACTGGCAAAATATTAAAAACTGTATTTTTATTTTGCATTATTTATTTGTTAAACTTCCTCTAAAAATTGAGCACAGCCTGTCTGGAATAAATGTATTTATGAACTGAACTATAGGCTTTTAAGGCAACAATAGTTGAAGTTATTACTTTAGCTCTCTTAGCAAATTATAGGCTGCTTTCTAACCTTCCTTTTATTTAAAAGAAATCTTGAAAGAGCAGTTGTTTCCTTTGCAAACTGATCATTTGCAAAGGAATGGTTTATTTGAAGAGTTTCTGTGCATCATAAGACAGAAACAGCAGTTACAAATTGCTGGACTTAACCTCGAGTACAGTTTGGATGAAGACCCACTGTGTGCAAGTTCTGACCAATACTGTAAAAGGAGTAGCGATTCTTGTGAATTGTGAATGGAATGATTGATAATGGCCGTCTTGCCACGGCATAAGCTCATCAGTCCTTTGGCCAAATGAGCTGACTCTTAATGAAACACTTTCCTCTTTATGTGTCCATATTTCATATTACATACTTGTTATTTTCTGATTTAAAAAAATATTTTTTGTAAGTTCTCCATGCTAGCTGAGATAGACGTACCCTTTTTGTCTTTGCGAAACTGAATACATAAGAAATTCCTTAGAAAGCAGGCAATTAAGAAGTAAATCTAGAATGAAATCACTGAATTGGCCTCAAAAACAAATCATAATTGGATGGTATGGAAAAACACAGGCGTCTGCTTTCAGTGTTTGGGTCTTAAAATCGTTATCATTCTCATTTCCCCAGAATCTCACAAAATGTACAGTCAGCAGAGTAATAACAGTGTGCGTGTCCCAGGGTCTGATTGCTATTGTGTCACAGAAAGAAGTTTCACAACAGCGGTTTTTGGTTCATAACACTTAAAGTGGTGCTAATTATCTTTCTTTGATTGTTGGTTTTTGGTTGATCATTGTAGCAGTTTTCCTTTAGCAGATCTGTTTTGAAAGTATCCGTGTGTTTGTAAGTGTTGTTGCCTAACCTTCTCTGTGGTAAACATGCTAAATCTGAACGATTTGACAAAGTGACATAGACTTACAATGACCAACTGAAGATCATAAAAAAACAAAGAATGAAGCTTTCTTTTGTGGTTAAAATTTAAAAAAAAAAGAAAAAATTTTCTTCATCATATTCACACTGACAACACGGTTCATGACAGGCACTGTCTTATTCTGGACTCTGTTCTTTTAATTGTCCTTAGGACTCTCCTTTCACAAATGCTGGCATGGGCTCCAACCTTAATTTGTCAGGGGAAATTGAGTGTGATGCAAGTATCATGGATGGAAAGTCTCTGCATTTTGGCGCCGTAGGAGCTCTTAGTGGTGAGTTACTACATGTGTGGTGATACTTGCATAATACTCATACATTATTGTGCTACATGCACTTCAGTCACCTGGACATATTGACAGTAAGACAAGAATCTAGGTCATATTTTCCTGACAGACTTTTCTACTATTTAAAAACAGCTGGCACCATTAATCATTCCAGTGTGGGATCACCTCTTTTTTTTTTTTTTTTAGATGAAGGGCAACCAGGAAGTGTTTTTAATATGTTAATGTTAATACAATCACTGTATTCTGTGTTTTTCTTTAAGGCTTTCAGCAAATGCTTTTTTTTCCTTCCTTTTTTTCTGCTTTTGCAAGAACTCCAAACAACAGATAAGGTGTGAAAACGGACACTTACCATGCAGTCCAAAATACAGCAGATTGTTTGTTTTTTTTAGCCAGGTCTGCAAGATCTTAAGCATTTGGCTTAGCTAGCCAACATGTGCTTTTTATAAAGTCTCGGAATTCTGAAAAAATGAGTTTAAATGGGCTGAAAGAGATTCAGAATTCATAGCTCTACATGTGTGACGATTACTAGCAAAAACAAAAATATGTTACAAAGTAAAAATGTATATATTCATCTTCTAATCTGTTTAGTCTTTTTATTGATTTGCCTCAAGGGTCACAATGATATATTGTGTTTAAAAAAAAATAGTTTTGGTGTCTTGATTTATTCACACAGTAATACCATCACTTACTGTGAACTGCAAGCCCTGTAAAAATTCTTCTTCTTTCAGGTATAAGGAACCCAGTAATGGTTGCAAACCGTCTGCTGAGTGAAGCACAGAAAGGGAAACTTTCAGCTGGCAGAATACCACCCTGGTGATTATTGCGGTTAATGAATAACTTTGCGTTAATGCGATGGTGTCCACCCCTAATTTAATTGTTGTTTTCTCAGCTTTTTAGTGGGGCGGGGAGCACATGATTGGGCTGTCAGCCATGGAATACCGCCATGCCCTTCAGATAAAATGGCCACCAGTAAGTACTTTTGCACTGATTCGCAAACATAAATGATCTAAGACGCGAATTAACCGCAGTTATAAAGTGACCCCAAAATACTTGCATTTAAAAATATCTAGAAAAACATGGTTGAATTTCTGTGGATGCAGGAAAAAAAAAACTATTTTGTCACACCCAGAGTTCAGTTTATCTGCATACAAGAGGAACAAGCGAAAGATGGAGCTGGCAGAGAAAATGGACACAGGACATAATCAGACAAAGAAAAGACGACAATCAAGTGAAAACGTGAGTGATATGTTGTCAGTTAAAATTTTAACAGTAGTAAGTATATTCTTTCTCAGCTGTGTTATATCCATTCTAACAGTCAGCATGGATAGTTTGCTTTTATTCAGGTAGTTTTTCCTCTCAGCAATCAAACTGTTTTACCATTTATGTCAAACAAAATGCTCTGAACAAGTAGCATTCATTATAATAACAAGGTTATACAGACTTTAGCACTAGCAGTTTTAAAGTGATGGCAGGAAGGAACAGGGACTTTAAAAAATAAGACAGATGGAAAAGTAAGAGAAAAGTAGCAGTTTAACAAAATAAAAGCTTTCAAAAGTGGGATAACAGCCACATATCCACAAAATTCCTTCTGAATAATTCTGAATTCTATAAGACATTTGAAAAATGTAGCAGCTAGAACTGTTAAATAAACTTATAAAGGCAACATCTAATCAATATACTTGGAACTGTTTGTAGTATTGAACAGAGCAAGCAGTACTCGGACTGTGCGCTGGAACGAAACCTAATGTGATAAACCCAAACCTTCAGACTAACAAAGGCTAGAAAGGGCAGAAACGACAAGAAAAAAGTGCATGTGATTATTATATCGGCAGAAAGTCGAGAGTCTTAAATGGTTTAATTAGAAATCAGCGTGACTCCACATATGACGACTCCACTTGGTCTGTGTTTTTGGTGGTAATTGATGTGGTCAGAAACTCAGGTTATTAAAGGTTATGCAATAAGATATACAGTTCCTATAAAATCTGTTTACCTATTTAGATTTTTCCCCTTTTGTTCATTAAAAAAAAATAATGGTCATTATAATTTGGCTTTTTTGTTTTTTATGAGAATTTACAAAAACACCTCTTTAATTTATTAAAAACACATGATGTAAAATAACTGAATATTTTCACCCCCTTTAAAGTGACTGACCTATTTCAACTGAGATCCAGCCAGTTGGTGCTAGCAGTCTCACAATTAGTTAAATGGAGGTAACCTGAGTACACTGAATGTGTCTCATGTGATTGTAGAATATAGACATCTGTATCTGGACAGTCCAGGCATAGGTTAATTGGCATTCCTGGCTACAATAACACCATGAAAATAAAACACTCCAAGCAGCTCTGAGAAAATGCAGTTAAAGAAGGAGTTCTTTAAGAAGCGGAGGATATATGGCATGTGTCGTCATAAACTGATTAACAAGGAGGAGACAAATGTGAGATGCCACTAAGACACCTGCGACTGCTCTGAACCTGTTGCCCAGGTTCTAATGGGACAGCAGCACAAACAAAGCCAGTCTGAATTAAAGTTTACCCAGAGGCATGTGGGAGACTCAAAAGTCAAGTGGAAGAACAGAAGGGGTTGTCTAAGAAAGAGTTTTGCGGGCATCAGACTCGATGCTGTGTTTGGCAGACACCAAACACCACACACGTCTGCAAACACGCCACCCCATCGTGAAGCATCATGATGTGGGGATGCTTCTCGGCAGCAGGCCCTGGAAGGCTTCTAAAGGTAGAGGATAAAAGGGAAATCTTGGAGGACATTCAGACTCAGTCTGCAAGAGAACTGCTACTTTGCAGAAGATCTGTTTCTCACCAAGTCAGTCTCTTGAAGCACACTGCGAAAGCTACATGGAAGTGGTTTAAAGACAAAGTGAATGTTGCGGGGCGTCCGAGTCAAAGCTCAGATTTCAGTCCGATAGGGAATTTGTGGCGGTTTTTGAAAAGGGCTGTTCATGCCTGACACAAAGATACATTTTCTCAGTTCTCATGTTCTTCCCGGGGCATCAAAGACAATTGCATTACGAGACAGCTGTGTGGACATTTCCAGGAAAGATTGTTGAGAGTTAGTGCTGACTTTCAGGGCTCCTAGGAGCACAGCTGAAGGGTGGCCTCATGATGAGCTGAAACGCTAACTCCCTCTGCTCCAAACTCACGAGCAGAGGAAGCAGCACAGAAGAGGGTGGGAAAGTTTATCTTGGTTCAGATGTGATTTGTGTTAAATGGAGTAAAACGTGTAAACAGACACAGCCTGATTTGCTTCATTGGATCTGTTTTTGAATTCTATTGTGGTTTATTTAGTTCAGTTACATCAATCGTCTTTATTAATGATATATCCATTAAATGAAAGACTAACATCTAGGACCAGCTGTTTGTTGACTTAGCCGTGATCAAATGGGGTTTGATTCGGTGATTGATTTTTATGTCAAATAGCTAGTTTGCTTAATTAGAGTTAAAAGATTGAGTCACCCAGTTTTCATCTGTCTGCTATATGTTTATTTAAAACTTACATATGGCAAACACTTAAGATTAATAAGTGGCCATTTGGTGCAGTTAAAGCTGATCTGGAAATAGCTTGTACTCTGATGGGGACGGTCCATGTTGAGAATTTTAATATACTTTACCTCATCTTTAATGTTTCCTCTGCCACTGACATGTAAAATCAGCTAATAGGAAATAACATTATGTATCAAGAATGACTTATGAGAGAGGGATCTCAACAAAGAATGTTATTGCAGCCTGGTTTTAATTTACATGCAAGGCCTTTTCTTTATGGCTCTGTCTTTTTGCCAGCCAGTAAAATCTTTCCAGGGTTGGTACCTGCGTCCTCATGGAGATTAAGTGTTATTTTTCCAAAGATGTTCACAAGTGTTATGGTCGTCATTTTCTGTGGGGTTCAAATACACTGATCATGTATGACAGGATGGTGTCTGTAGCATTTGAAAATAGCTGGCCTTGGATCTTTTTGGCCTCTGGAGCTCAGGTCCCAGGGGTGATTTAGGAGAGCTGAAAGCAGAGGAGACAAGCTGATCCATTGTTTTGTTTTTTTAACTGTTGTCTTTTTAGTCCAAGGTGTAATCTTCAGTTTCTGGTAGAAGCTGGGTTGTGATCATGTGTAATAATGCCAGTTTGCACATTTACCCTGTAGAAGTCATGCAGTCTGACTCATGATGGTTCACAAGGAAGTCACTTCCAAAGCAAACTGCAATCAAGGAAGAAAACAGAGGACTGGAATTCCAGCAGCACATCTTTATGAAATGTGAAGAAAGAGTGGTTCATATTTTCATGCAGGGCTGTCTTAATTTTGGAGTCAGTTCCCTTTTAAAATAGACAAGTAGGCAGCTGTGCCAGCATGCACAGTGTAGTGATATTCCATTTTCATTTTTTTTCCTATAAATTCTTTTACTGCGGTGCTAAAATTTGTTGATGTGTTTTCTAAACGCTTGTTGGTTTACGAGTGTTGGTGGATAACACAACATGTGCAGGGAAGTGTAGCCTAGGTCATTTTATGCCATGCCCAAAAAACACATTATTGCAAGGTGCTAATATTTACTGAAATGGTGGTTAAAAAAGCCTAATAGAAAACAGTTTTTAACAAAAAATAGGAGAACAGCTCATTGACACTGTCACTTCTTCAGGACTGGACTTAAGAGGTGCGAATTAATGAATGGTTGTGAAGACGGTACAAGCAAACAGATGCATACAGAGGTTCCTCCACCTACTAGTGTGATTGTTAGTCAAAAGTTAACATCTCAAGTTCAGAAGGTGATGTTTTTTTGTTTTTTCATTTTGCCACCTCTTATAGTTATAGTTACTTAAAATTGTCATTTGAAGATGTCCTTTTGAATTTCTTAGCTCCTTTTTTGCAGTTCATGTGACTCTTTTCCTTTACTGTCATATAGGGAAATGGCTCAGGGTGCCTCGACACAGTTGGAGCTGTTGTTGTGGACCTGGAGGGGAATGTAGCTGCAGCAGTGTCCAGTGGAGGTTTGGCTATGAAACATCCCGGCAGGGTTGGCCAGGTAATGTAGCCCTTTCCTTCTTTTTATTACAATATCTTTGTCCAGATAATGTCTTTAAATAAATGTTTAATGTAACTCAATTAAATGATAACTAAAATTATATTTGATGCAGTTATTACTATAGACATCATTTCTTCTGTAGTGAAATATTTCAACGTTGTGAGATATCGTTTCTATGTCGTGCATACAGGGCTCTATTTAGAGAACAAAATAAGTGCACTGTGCACCTACATACTGTTTGCGTTTAATGCTAATGTTATGCTGCTGCCTGTAATTGAAGCTCAAAAGATGTCTGTCCGTATCCAAATTATTGCCGTCTAAAAGAGGGAGAATTTTTTTTTTTTTTGCTCCAAATTATGGGCCTCTGGCTTGGGGATAATTTCAGTTTCATGTGTGGCAAGTCAGTAAATCCATTGGAAATGTTTGTTTTTAGTTTGCATGTTCTCCCCGTGTTTGCGTGGGTTCTCTCCAGGCACTCGGGCTTCCTCCCAAAGACATGTAGTTAGTGGGGTTAGGTTAATTGGTATTTCTAAATTGTCCATAGGTGTGAATGTGAGTGTGAATGGTTGTCTGTCTCTTGTGTTAGCCCTGCGACAGACTGGCAACCTGTGCAGGGTGTAACCTGCCTCTCACCGTATGGTAGCTGGGATGGGCTCCATCCCCCCCCCCATTGCGCCCCTGACAAGGCTAAGCAGGAGAGAATGGATGGACGTATGCCTGTTTGACTTTAACAGGCAAACATTTTCCTCTTCTTTAATACAGACTTTTTTTCTTCAAATAGAGGTGATATACTAATATAAAAAAAGGCTGAAAAGCTGTAATGTAACATTCTTCTGTGGAGGGGTAAATCTTGGTCTCAAAGCTAGTGTGCCTCCTTCATTTCTCCATAAATGTCCACTGGTCATTGATATTGTTTTAAGTAATTTTACCACCAATTTCTTTTCAACATTTAGTTGGAAGAGATTTTGTTTTTATTGTTTGTTTGTTTTTTTAATATTTTTTTTGCAAGTAGTGCCTGTTTAAAATCATCCAATTCATTGGGACTCAAATCTGGACTTTGATGGTGTTTGCATAACCTTCTATTTCTTCTTTTTGACCCATTTCTCAGTGAATCTGTTAGACCCCTTATGATCATTATTCTGTTAGAAGAGCCAGCTTTGCTTTAACTTCAACTTTTGAACAGATGGTCTCACATTATCTTCAAGCACTCTTTGATACGATGCTGGTTTATAGTAAAACCGATGCCTGCAAGCTGTCCAGTCCCAAGGGCATCAAAGCACATTCACACCACGATGTTTTACAGCTGGCATGTAGTTCTTCTTTTTGAAAGTCTGTCTTTGCTCTGTGCCGAACATGTCTCCTCTCACTGTGGCCAAAAAAACCCTCACTCTTTGTTTTTCTCTACCTAGGTCACGTTATTCCCAGTGGTCTGTTCTTAGTTGTCCAAAAACAACAACAGAGCAGTACTATAGTTTTGCCAGTGAACATATAGAGACTTTTTCCTCTTTTTGACATCAGTGTGTTTCTGCAGCTTTTGTTAAATTTTTTTGTAATCAGTCAATTTTCCATGCTTATGTGTTTTTTTTTGTCTGAAGAACAGTGTTGCTTGAAAAAAAGTGTCATTTTTGCTTCAAATTTGCTGCAAGCTGTTAAAAGAATTCCAACTGTTAAACGCAGATATTTTTGGGCGACTTTGGTGGGGACCAAAGCAGAGCTAAAAAAGAGTTGTATATTAGCTTTTGCATTAGATTCCAATCCCATAGTTGGTGGGGAATCTGGGTATAATGAAACTGAAAGCTCAGCAACCATTAAGGACATGCTCTTTAAATGTAACCTGCTTTTGGAGGAAAGTCAAAAAGGATAGAGTTGGAGTGCAAAAAATCACCCTGGGCTTTTTAGACTTGACCAGAAATGTGTTATCAGTAGAGAGGTGGCGCGTCTGTAGTATGTTCTTTGTTAACTCACTATCCACTAAAATCATAGGAGGAAAACAGTGTGCCAGGGTTGTGTGTTACGTGAGTTTTGATCCCCTCTAGTGGCCATAAGTCTAACTGATCAGTGCACCTTATGAAGGGTTAAGGGCAGCAGATTGGACTTTTTCAGGAAGCAGCGTTTGCCAGTAAAGACCCCCAGAGTTTGGTTCCCTTTCTTGTATTTCTCCCATTGCTGGCTGTAATTAACAGAGCTGAAATTTTACTTTTTAATGGAGATAGTCAAAAATAACAACTAGTGGTCTGGGCTCTACTTAATGTTAATTCAAAACTTTTCTTTGAAGAAGAACTTTTACTTCGAGGAAACAAAGGAAGTTGTCATTTTCTATTAAAAGCAGCTTTACGGGAAAAAAACAGCCATGTAACAGTTGAGGCTGAACAGAATGAATGAATCAGTGGGATTTACTGCCTCAACCTAATTATCACTTGTAGTGTTAGGAAAACCTGAAGCTCAGAGCAATAGAGCTAGAAAGCCTGGCATGCTGCTTTAGTTAAAGATGTGCAAATATAAATAAGTCTGCTATAACCAACCAGTAACCAAAGTTACTCTTTAAGAAATGATTCTACTTATTTCAAGGCAAAAACAATAATCCTTTTCATCTAAGATGTCTTTTTTGTTTTCCATTTCTCAGGCTGCTCACTATGGATGTGGCTGCTGGGCTGAAAATGCCTGTCATATGAACTCTTACTCTACAGCAGTGAGTACCTCAGGTAAACCAGCACATTCTCTGTAATCTACTTTTACAGTTGTGTGTGTTTGTTTCCACTCTGTTCACTCTGGGTTCACTATTAGCCTCTCTTTTGTTGTTGAGGATGATATGAATCAGTCCGAGCGAGTCAGGCTTCAAAAAGCCTGATAATACTTTCCGATGACCTTCAACTGTTCCCGCTGAGTGATTTCTCATCAGTCACTTCCTCAACTGATTGAGTCATCTTTCTCTACTCTGTGTTAGTCAGCTGCACGCCAGGTGCATTGCAGAGCTCTTTGGATTTTCAGTGACTTGTGACATGGGACACCTGTTGTAGATATGATTGAAGGAGAGCTGCTGGAAGGGCATTGCAGTGTTAAAATGGTGAATTTGTAAAGTGTACATGTCCAGATTTGGATCATAACTTGACTGGTATAATAGTTGGCAGTTAAATCAAGTATCAACTTTTGCATTTCATGTACTGCGAGCTTTTACTTAGAGTACATGTATAATATAAAAATCTAAATAAAACTAAAAACAAATGCCCCCCCCCCAAAAAAAAAAAAACAACAAAAAAAAAACAAACAAAAAACTATGTGGTCGAGCAGCACTCGACAGGACTTTTACTTGACATCATTATTGTAGTTCAGGATGGCCTAATATGCTTTCTGCTGTCCACAAGCCCTAGAATTTATGATTTGGGTGGTTAGTTCTGCAGCTATCTAGAACATTTCACTTAAATTATTAGCTGTCTTGTGGTTTTTATTGGAGCAAACAGTCATGTGAAAATGAATGCTTTTTCGAGGTTTTCTCTATCAGCATATAATTTTAAAAAATCATTTGGTCCATATCAGGTTATCAGGTCTAAAATTATTTAAATACAACATCAAATAAATTGCAAACCATGACATACACACACAGGGTCATTTTTTATTTAACAAAAATGAAGCCAAAATGCAGAAGCAGTGTGTGTAAAACACACGCACACAAAATGATTTGGTATCTTGTAGAACCACCTTTAGCAGCAATAACTTAGTAACTCATAAGTAATCATTTTCTGTTTGTTTTTATCAGTGTCTCTTATCGTTGTAGAGATCATTTTGGCCACTTTTTACGCTTTTCAGACATTCCCACTGTTTTTTTTTTAAGGTCCTTGCACAGTATTTAATTCAGGTTGAGGTTCAGACTTTGACTGGTCCATTGCAACATCTTGATTCTTTTCTTTTTCAGCCGTTCTGTTGTAGATTTGCTGCTGTGTTTGGAATCACTGTTTTCTCACAATATCCAATTTGGGTTAAGTTTTAGCTGTTGGACAGATGGCCTCACTTTGACTCCAGATACTTTGATATACAGAAGAGTTCATGGTTGACTCAAAGACTGCAAATAGCCAGAATCATAACCGTCGTTTGGTTATTGCTAAATGTGGTGCTGTGCATTAAGTCCAGACGTCTTGGTCTCGTTCTGTCCAAAGAACATCATTCCAAAAGTCTTTGTTCAGATCTAAACTGTGTTGCCACAGTGTTTTTAGAGAGAAGAGACTTTCTTCTGCAAAGCCACACTTATTCAGTTTTTTTCCTAATTTTATTGCTATGAACTTTAACATTTAACATACTAACCGAGGCCTCTAGAGTCCGAGATGTAGCTTCATTGGGGCTTTTGCAGTTTGGTTTGACCTTGGGGTAAATTTGCTGGGAAGATCGGCACAAATGTTTTCCACTTGTAAATAAACTTTCTCACTGTAGAATTGATGGACTTTAAATTGTTTGGAAATGGCCTTATAACCCTTCCCAGATTGATAGGGAGCAACAGCTGCTTCTCTAAGATAATGGCTGATGTCTTTCCTCCTTGGCATTGAGCTAACATGCACCTGAATGCTCCAGACCAGCAAATTACCAAAACCTTTGCTTTTATAGAGGTGTCACACTACCTTAATTCCTATAGAAGCAGTAACAATTTACTTAGTTTTTCACAAATGCTTTTGGCATAATTTTTGTTAAATGAATAAAGACATTTGACAAGTTTCATGTGTTGTTGTTCATCTGAAAGTGTATTTAACTAATTTTAAGACATGCTAAGGACTTTATGCTTTTTCATCCAGTCTGGTTTGGTGAGGATCTGTCATTTGCTTGCCGTCTGTAGGTTAAAGGTGATAGGCCGGATACATTTCAGCAGCTCTGTTCAGCATTTCTTACATTAAACAAGCAGTATATGACAACTGTTGTGGTAGTGGTCTGTTGTTCATTAATTATCCAAGAAGATCAAGTGTAGGCTGCATGTTTGATATTTGCGCTGTGTGCATTCTCACCCTGTCTTCCTATATTGTGGCTTTGTCTTTGAAGTGAGTGAAAAAAAGGAGCGAGCCGTATGGGTTCAGAGAGCATAATGTGTGTTCCAGTACAACACCTGTCTTTCATTTCCTAACATGAAAGATGTTTCCATCAAAAAGAAACAGAAAGAATCATTTCCATTCTGACACAAGGAGTGTGATCCTCACCCCGAATGTCCCTTTCTTCCCTCCACCACACCAACACACTGCCCGTCCACACACCCGCCCTCTCTCCTTCCCACCTCTTCCACTGTAGTCAGTTTTGTAATATGCGGCTCATGTGTGTCTTTGTTTTATTGCTTCATCTGGCCTTTACTTTGCTGCGGCCAGCGAGACAACAACTCACAAAGTTTACTGTTTACTCGTGCCGCTGTCGGCTGTCACATACTGTGTCCACATTTGTTGGTCTTTTTGGGGTTTTTTTTCCTGGTGAGTTGCTGCTTTAGGTTTCTTTCTGCCATCCTAATTCAACTGTGTTTGCGCTGCCATAATATCCAGTTCCCTTTAGACTCGTGGGGGTTTATGGTAAACACAGCACAAAAGGCACAGTACATTGCCAATACAGTTTTCTACTTGCCTTAAAAAAAGGACTTCAAATTGCTCCGGGCGTTTGTTCTCCACAGTTACTGACCTGCATTCAGTTCTGTTGTAGTTACCTGTTTTTTATGGGGCCTTCATTTGTGTTTACAGAAACAATGAGGCCATATTCTTCAGTCTTTATGGGTTTTCACAGGAGCCTTTGCCAGATGTGTTTTGTTTACAATTTAAGATTTTTTTGTCTTGTTCTCCGGTACGTGCAAACTTTACATGTGAGAAAGGCTTTATTGTAAGCATGCAGTTTGCATTCAGCAACTATCTTTTCCTTAAAAACAGCAATATGTTGGATTTAATGTTTGCTCTTTAAGGAATAAGTAGCATATTATCTCTGATATAAAAAGGCACACCTGCTATGTTTTGACTTGGAAGTGGTCGAAGGTAATGTGAAAGACTGAGCAGGCTGCCCATGCTTTTATGGTTCCTGGTTTCCCTGAATTCTTAACAAAATGCTTTGTTTCTCTCCTTGGAGTATTTACCGCATGCACCATGAAGGAAGCACATCAGACAGATTCAGGTGGCTACCACAATCAATTGGAGCTAGCAGGGTTAGCGGGGTTAGGTTTTTCTTATAGCAAACAACCTCTATACTGCAGTTTTATTTCTGTGTACTCTAAAATTATTATTATTATTATTTCTATTTAGTTGTACATGCAGTCACTACACTGCTTTTATAAATATTAAACAGTGATCTGATCAAAAATAGTTTCTTTTCCTTAGACAAACTTGTAAAATCTTGTTTCTAAAAATGCATATTACAGTAACATAGAAATTCTAAACCTGTTTAAATAAAAATGATGCGTGAATGTGTCATGACGATAGAAGTAAGTACGGCTCTCTGCACACCCTGCAGTTGTGCCGAGAGCCAGCTACAGCACAGGATTTACAGAGGGGGAATTAATACTGGGTGTTTGGCAGTTTTAAAGCTCCAAAACTAGCTGGGATCAAGGCAGGGAAAACTGAAACAAAAACCCTCTCTTTGTAGTCACTGTCAGTGTACCCATGAGCAAGGCAGCTGTACTTTAGAAGTGATTTCAGTATTACCTGAAATAAAAACTGCCTAATTACACTTGTGAGAATATGCCAAAGGATTGCATTATCATTTTTATTTTTATTTGAACTCAATAAACAAAACTTAACCCTTTGATATTTAGAATAGCTTCCATTATATACCTAATAACCAGATAAATAATATAATATAATAATAAATAAAGATTTTTTTTTTTTTACAAGTTTTAAAAGACTTTTTTAAGACTTTCACGTGCTTTGGATTTGAAAGGAAGTTGTTTAGTCTAGATGTGCCAAAAGTCTCTAAAAGTTAACTCTGTTTATTATGTGTGTCATTTTGTGTCTTTTGCCAGGCTGCGGGGAGCATCTGATTCGCACCATGCTGGCACGGGAATGCTCTGCTGCCATGCAGTCTGAAGATGCCCACCAAGCCCTGCTGGAGGCTATGCAAAACAAGTTCATCAGTGAGTCACACACATGTAGCCTGATTACCGCTCTTTTCCATACACACAGATTTGTCAGCCAAGAACGTGTTTGTGAGAAACACGTGGAGAGAATTATACAAACAGATGTTGCATAACATAAGGAACGAGAGGACAACTGGAAACGTTGGAAATTATAGAATCAGAGACAGCTTTTGATTTATGGTTCCTTTTCACTGTTTAAAAAGGGCCTTCAAATGGTGCACACATCATAGCTGACAGCCACAGATAATTTTGGAAGACATGCTTGTTTTGTTGAAAGTTTATAGGTTTATATGAAGAGCTTTTTTTTAGTTTTTTGACTTATTCTCAGAAGTGGTCAGTTTTTGAAAGCCTTGTTAACCGTGTTTGCTGTGCCTGTGAATGACCACTGGGATAGTTCAGAGCAGAGGGAAAAAGGACATATGGAAACATGTGGTGGTTTCTGCCTTGTTCCGGCCTTCTTTAGAAGTCCATCTCAATTTGGCTTTGTCCGTCTCAATTTATTCAAACAAAGCTGCACAAATCCTGTCTTTGCAGAACGCATGTTAACAGTAGGAATGAGACAGGAATGTTGTTATGTTATTAATATTCCCACAACATCATATTAATGTTGCTTCTGTACAGTCATTGCAATTTACCCGTTGCATTGTTAAGATGTCATAGGTTTGTGTCAAATACAAAAATGTGATTTATGCAGCAGTGGGACAATGAGTATAAAGGCTGACAAACTCAGCATGTTCCTGTTGGATAAATGGATCAAACAGGACTTTTGCCCTGGACACTGCGGTTTGATTTTGATTTGCATTTTTTCGCAGTTTTTAAATGTTGCCTGGTTAAGGTTAAGATCCTGATTTTTCACTCTCTTCGTTCTTGTATGTGACCATTTTCAGAGGAATGTTTTGTTTGTTTGTTAAGCCACGGAAGTTATTAAGGGATGAGCAATTTTAAATAGTATTTTTGGGCAAAAACACATCATTTGTTCCCATTTCTTTAGTTGAATAGATGCAAAATCCCAAATCTAACATAGTTTAACAGACATAAAAAAGGTTTTTTTTGTACCAAAAAGGTAATTTCCAAAGAGTTATATACCCAAACCTTGGCATATCTCAGCGTGGTGTGCAGTGTGCCGTTAAAAATTTTGATGAAACTCGTCAAGTGGGTTACAAAAGAAAAGAAAAGAAAGTGAAAAGAAAGACAAAAGAAGTGGCAGGTCTAAAAAAAACAGTATCTATAGCAAATGAACAGCATCTGAAAGTAAGAAACAGGAAAAAATCCAACACAGACCTGACACAGGACCTGAGGGATACATCTGACTAACAGCTGATCCATCTGCTGTTCACCAAAGCCTCATCAGAAATCGTCTCAGTGGAAGGGTGGTTGTCAAGAAGCCATTCTTAATGAAGGGAAACTGGGAGAAAAACTGAAAATCTGCAAGAAGTGGACTGAAAATCAGTGATAACAGGTCTTATGAAATGTTACATTTCTGGTTCAATGTATGAAGTGTCAGAAAAGGGAGAGTGAGTTTTGTGTTTTACAGCCATATTTAAAACATGATGGTGACTCAAAACCTTTGCACAAAACCGTAGATAGAACACGGCAATGTCAGGTGATTCAGTCTATAGCAGCGGTCCCCAACCCCCAGACCCTGGACCGGTACCGGTCCGCTGGTCTACAGAATAAAACACTTTTAAACACTTTAAAAAAATATTTTTGTTTAATGCTAATAAAAGATTGTAGTGCCATAGACACACCTGCCAAGTACATATCAAATGGGGTGATATTTCAAAAATGTTCATTTCTGTTTATTTATTGTTAAAGTCTTGCTGCAGGCTAAATAATGGAGTTTTTGATGGAATATTTTGCCTTTTTGAAAATGTAGAACAAATATCTGTTCTTGTGTGTGAACGCTGTCCAAGCTACACAGACACACACACACA